GAGGCAGCACCTGGCTCCTGTCACCCGGCTGGCAGATTGTGGGCATGCATGCCTGGGAGGACTCCAGCACAGGCCCCAGGCGGAGACCGAGGTGGGGGAGGGTCCCCACACCAGCCAATCTGCCCTGGGCCCACAACTGGCCAGCTCCGGTAGGGAGCGGGACAGATCAGCTGGTTTGGGGACACAACCCCTGAAGCCCTCCCAGGGGTGTGGGGAGCCCCCAATCTGCCTGCCAGATGCCAGGAGGCTGGTGCTGCCCACTGGGACCAGTGCTGAAGCCAGTAAACCTGGCTTTGAAACTCAAAATGTTTTGAAACTTTCGAAACATTTTGAGTTCCCTTGTTCCGTTTCGAAGCTGTTTCAAAGGCTTTTGTCCCATTTCAATTTCACTGTTTCGAGCTCAAGACACATCAAAACAGCTTTGAAACAAAACGCCGGGCGAAATTTCCCTACACCCCACACACATGCATGTACACTCTCTCTCTCTCTCTGAATCCCTGTCATTTTTTGGTATCAACTCTGGGCCAGCGCCCGTCTTTGCTGTCCTGCATTCGTACACATCCAGGCACGCTAGGGCCCTGCTCTATAACTGGAACCCTGAAGGGACCATGTGGCACCAAGGAAACGGCCTCCATGGTACTTAGGAAACTTAGGAACCGCGAGCCCTTTTCCCAAAGGGATTTACTGCCTCTCAGCCTCTTTCAAGTAAAGCATAGGCATTCTGGAAAAGCTGCCTAAGAAGGATGCCATCAGCGTGCTGGTACCACCCACATGTCAGGTGGAGGGGCAGGGTTAGCTTTACCGCGGGATGTGTGCAGAGCAGGGTGGAAGCGTGCACGAGGGCTCCCAGCAAAAGGGCAGCTGGGAGGGGATTGGAGCAGCACAGTACTTACCAATGCAGAGCGAAGATGAGTGCGACGAGGAGCACGGAGAACACATCTGTGAGGACCCACATGGTTCTGTAGTCCCCTGGCGTCTGCAAGAGAAGCCCAGGCAGCACTGAGGAGCAGCAATGCAGCCCACCCCATACTCACACAGAGCAGACGGCACCGAGGTCTTGCCATGCGATTTGACTCGACTGAGTGAACCGGCTGCTGCTTGGGAAGCTTCTGTGCAGACGGCCTTGCTCGGCAGGCAGTGGGCTGTGGCCTTAAACAGGGGTAAGCCCCTTCTCCACACCATGGGCTCCTTCTCCCTTTACTTGAGGCCTGAGTCTTTAAGCCCCACCAAGACCTTCCTCTAGTGCATCCCTGCTCTGGGCTGGGCCCATCTTGCCAAGGGTACATTCAGTCTCATTTCTGCTGATACACAGAAAATGGGCACTAGATCTAACCCATTGTTGATCATGCTGAGTGATGACCATGAACAGCATCTCCAGGCAGGGTCTTTGGAGCCCCTCACTGCTGGAAGAGCTTTTTGTCTTACCATAAGGAAAAGAGGCTGGTCAAGGTCCCTCAGGGAGTGTGCGGCGTTGGTGGTTACTGAGTGGGCACCGGCACACCAAGCCAGAGAGAAGAGCCACGGCTCATCGATGACATAGAGGTTGGTGGTGATGTTGGCCTCGGCGTATGTCCTTTAAAACACCAGTGCATGTAAAACATTAAGGGTGCGCGGTTTCCATCAGGCACGTGCCAGGGAAGTTCTGGGTGGCAATTAGCAGTGGTGGCTTCTTGGAAAGGAGACAGAGTGGGAGCAGAGAGGCCAAGAGCTGCCAATCAATTGGTTATGTACAAACATGGGGTTTGTTCTGATTGGCCACGTTAACGACTGGTCCTCTGAGGATAATCACATTTGAATGGCAAGTACAAGAACAGGGTTCTTTGTGTGTGCCATTCAAATATTACACACTTATATATGCATTTACACTTATATACATTAAAGCATAATGAACAGATAGCATACATAATAAAATCATAATAATATATGTTTTATAAGATATATCTGTATCTCTATATCTATAGATATAGATCTATAAATCTATATAAGATTATATATGTATATCTTATATGTATATATAAGATAGATCTGTAGATCTATAGACCCTGTAGATATAGATATCCATCTATAACTATATCTATATCTAGAGATACAGATCTATAGAGCTGTCTTATAATAGATTCAATTTATATGGGTTAATACATCATCATTAGCTGTTTCGTCAAATGGTTAATTGATTGTTCTATAGCCCAATGGGTCAAAAGTTTGCCTATAAGCCTGACCTATGAGTAGCGATACCACTTTCTACTGATGTGTTTATGATCACCTATAAAACCTGCTACTTATATCTGTAATGTACTCAGTGGTCTACGGACCACTTGCCCAATCTTAAATCATTTCCAAACTGCCCCTGAACTTGTTCTAAAAAGCTTTATTAGAAATGTCAACCTTTACTGCTGTTAAATTCAACTGTAGACGGTAGGATGCTAAATGTTAGTCACTCTAATTAGCATTAGAAAATGCTGAAGGGCTTTCCATTCTGAAATGATCAAGTGCTAGGATTTGGGACAAGTTAAGTGCATGCAAGGAAAAGCAGCCATTCCACTCACTAAGAGAGAACAGTGTATCAGAGCTGAGTTTTCTGGGAAAAATAATGAATGAAATACAAAACCTTCACATGTGAGATTTTCCAAGACTTCTCCCTTACTAGAAACATTGGTTTGCTCTCGTCTAGCCAGCCACCAGAGGGGGGTGGTTACTAGCTGAGACCGTTCGGTGTGGTGGTGATGTTATTAAAAATGAGCAGATTCTCATTGTCCATAAAATGAGACCTTCTTACGTGCTCTTATCTAAGTGTTGTTAAAACAGTTGCCTGGAGCATAGGGGAAGGGTGCAATCGAGCTGGGTGCTGACAAGGAAATTAAATTATTCCCAATTCTCCAAGAAATTCGAACAAAAGCAGGTTGAAGCTTGGCCGTGGGCATAACCAGAATTAAAAGAGGCCGGACAGCTGTGTTGCTCATGGCATGTGTTGACGTACATTGTGTTCAGCACCTGCTGACGTAGGGACCAATCCAAAACCCAGTGCAGTTCCTGGAAAAGCAGGGAGTCAGGACACCTGGAGGGGTTTCAATTACTTCTACCATTCATGGTGGTCTTGGCAAAGTGTCAGCTAGCATGAGGTGCGCTTCACTGGGGGTTGGAGTTACATGCCCTGAATCATACAGATGCCAGGTTCATCCCGCCTCCATACGGATGCCAGGTTCATCACACTCAGTCAGCAATGCGTTTGTGATGGCACAGCCATAAGGGGGGCCATGAGTCTAAAACATACACCTCGGGGGCTGCAGAGAGGCAGCGCCACCCATCTGGGCTCTGCACCAAGCCCTGGGTTGCCTACTACATTTAAGGCTCAAGCTGCAACCTACCGGATATCTTCACTGGACATTTGGGTGTAAACCAGATTGAGCTTCACAATATTATATCTCAATAGCTCATCAACCGGGACCGTTCTCCCCACCGTTTGCTGAAACCCAGGAGCTACGGACTGAACAAAGGACCTCATCTCATCCTCCAGCCACAGGACCTGTGGGTGAGAGCAACAGGGAATGAGCTAAGGCTGACATTATTCAGCAGCCCCTGCCTCCCGCGTTCACAGATTCGCAGAAATTTGGGGCTGGAAGGGACCTTGCCAGATGATCGGGTCCAGCCCCCTTGCTCTGGGCAGGAATACTGCTGGGGTCATTAAAACATGATAGACAGAACCAGGCAGACTGTCTGTACCAGGCCCTTGGCTGCAGTGGTTCTTGATTAGATAATGATCTAATCAATTAAAAGCATGCTTATTGATGCTATAATTGTAACATTTGTATTATAACATTCCTAACATACTTATACTCATTTTTTTTAATGGAGTGCTCCTAAACTCAGAAGTTTTGGAGGGTGCCTTGAGGCTAAGGCTGAGAGTCACTTGCCCTACTGAATGGCACTGGAGCTCTGGAGGTCCTTTCCAGCCCTATTTTCTATCAGTTATACTCAAATAATACCTCTTGCTTGGGACTCTCTGCCTGTAGCTCAGCTCTGCTAAGGCCAGGCTAAAATGAAACTCCCTGCCCCTGGGCACTGAGCTGGAAGCGAACACATACGAGTGTCATGTGGCTGAATGAAGGGCACGTGGGTGTGACTGTAACAGGAAAGGAAACTGGTTTTGGGAGTGCTGAAGGTGCTGGGAAATGCTCCAGAGGTGAGGTAGCGTTCAGATCCCAGGGTGGCAGAGTGGGTCTTCAGCTTCTCTAGGAGGACTTTGTTCCAGGGATGTCAAAAGACACTCATTGCTACCCATCCTGGCAAGTGGGCAGCCGTAAAATTGAGGTTACTTTGGGAAGGAGAGAGGGGCTCCAATTCCAAACCATTTAAAGCAACAGGGCCCGTGGCATCCTGGTCCTGACAACTGGCATCCCTGAAGCAATCAAGGGAGGGCAGCAGCATCTAGCATGGAGATACCACCGTGCCATTATGGAGCCAGAGCTTCGATTGTCATAGGGTTTACTCGAGCTGAGGATTTGGTCCTTGTCATGTGATCCTTTCACTGTGGGATCTCAAAGCATCTGGCCCATGTTCATTAAGATTTGTGTTGCCTACCATGAATCTTACACTTCACTCAGGGCCAGACAGGAGCTCCCTGCCTCGCATCTAATAATGCCCATAAAAGCAGTGGTGCTACTCAATGAGTGGCTGGGCAAGGGAAGGATGCTAGAGTCTGGCCTTTGGGAATTATGACTTTAAAAGGTGCTGGGTCCCTGGGGAAGTCTGTCAACAAAACCGGATGAGCCAGATCCTTGGTGGTGAAGTCAGTGGTGTGACACTGGTTGACACCCCCTCACGCCCTAGCTACACCTGAACCTACACGTGGCACCAGGAAGGAGGAGCAACATCGTCATACCAGATGGGGCTTAATCCCTGAGTCGCTGATCACTTCCAGCGTCCTGTTGATCCACGTGTTCCTGTACGGATGCTGCTCCGGGGGACGGTAGAGATCAAAGATCACGAGTTTATTCTGACGCTCAGCCAGGCTTAAGAAATTACTTAGTTTGTAAATGGACTGATTCATGGCCTGTTTCTGTTCTGCCACTGACAGTGAGCCCACATAGGAGAAGGGTCTGTCCTAGAAAGAAAGAGATATCCAGGGAAATACATGAATTCATCCTTGCGGAGGGCAGCATGCAAATAGGTCACACATCTCGATGACAGAAATAACCTGGCATTGTTGCCCCGCGGGGTAGAAGCTTGCACTTCCCTAGGGAGCTGCTCTAGTTCTCGTCTCCTGTCCGTTGTATTATTAAGGTATTCTCTCCACTAATCCCTACTTAATATTATGAGGCCAGGTCTTGGATTCCTAGCAGCTGGGAGGCAGCCACGTTCAAAAAACTGGGTCAGGACAATAAAAGTATTAGTGCGGCCACACTGAGGGGCGCTCAGGACAGGGAGAAGCGGGTGGGCACACCTAGGGTCATACAAGCACTGCCACTGCGGGGAAACTGACCAGCAGCCGTCGATTTCACCGTTGCTATTAAGGAGCAGGAGCCCGATACCAAATCTTGGTGCAGTTCCCCAGTGGATACACCCCATCCCGGGAGTCAAGTCAGTGCGTGACCCTCTGGTCACACCAGTGCCTGCAGTGCAATGTAGGCCAGTCAGAGCTAACTCGGGGCCCAGGACCAGCGTGGAGCTCAAGGAAGGCTGCACGCCCCACTTCGGCAGTGAAGTCAATTAACGTGTGCTGAATTCTGCATAGATTCATAGATTCATAGATTAAGGGTCGG